TTGAAGAGACTATCTTTACTCCATTGTATGCTTTTGCTCCTTTGTCAAATATTAATTGAGCATAATGGGTTGGGTTGATTTCTGGGTTCTATGTTCTGCAGGAAGAGCCTCAAAGACAAAATTTTCAACAGAAGGAAACTGTGTAGCGTAATAAAAATTACTTTAGAGTTAGGTTTGACTTTCATTCTTGTTTGGTGACTTAGGACAATTTAATGAGGCTAAATATCAATTTCTACATAGGGAAAACGGAAATAAACAGTGGTAACGTTGTTATGTTAGTAACTGAGAGAATGCATGTAAAGCAGTTAGTACAGCACCTACAGTAGAATGGTACTGTTATTTTTAATTACTCAGCTTCTTTATGCTCCTTTTAGTGCCAAGAGGTTAGTGTTTACCCAGAGCACTCAGCCACTGATGAAAGGGAAATGTAACATTCTTGAAGTCTTTAAGTCAAAATTGGAAATTTTAAAAATATATTTAAATAAGATGTGTTTGGATAAAGATGAGAAATCTCAAGAGCAGAAGTCACTTTGGACTGAGCAGCCTTCACCAGCCTATGGGCTTCATTCACATATAGAAACCCACACCCTGAAATATAGGTCCACTCTCTATCTATATTTAAAGTACCTGTGGAAACAGGGTGCCCTAATCCCTTACTAAAACAAGGTCATCATGTAAAACGAACTTCAACCTGTACTACCTGCCCTCCAGAGTCAACGTAATTTTACAGTTTTATGAACTTCAGTGTGTACTTCCTAGAACAAAAGTCAACTGGCAGAACATATAAAAGCAGTTTCATCTTGGGGTAAGGAATAAACCCAATGAGTTCATCCTATAACTTACCTGTGCGGTGACCATGAGTATCTTCAGAATCTGTAAACCCAGTTTCCATGGAATCTGGTGTCTGGCCCGGTATTTTTCACAAGGGTTCATGAAGTAAAATCTCAGGTCTTCCCTCAGACACTCCTCTCTCACGTCAGAATCAAGATGAGCCATTGCATTGCTGCCACAGAAGATCAATTTTTCAATACACAGAACAGCCTGTTCATCAGAAAGCTCCTAAATGATACTTTCTATTCACATGCCTTACCCATTCTTACAAGCACAACTCTCTCTGCAACCAGGAAACCTGTTTCCACTTGAGGAATCTGAAAATTATTCAGGACCCTCTATTATTCACCTTTCCCCATTGCTACTTGTCTTATTCAAAATGGCCATTTTCAAAAATTATAAGAATAAAATTTTATTTGCAAAACTCATCAATTCCTACACTTTAACATATAGCACTCACCTGTCACTGAAGTATGAACAAAAACTAGATGGGATACTTTCATGTACACCAAATGGGAAATCTCAAAAATTGGCTATAGACTAATGAAATGAAATTGTTACAGAAACAGAGAATCTTTGCTCTATTACTTTGTACTGAATGAAGGATTATGTCCCTCTTTATTGGTAATATATCAGTGATTATAAGATCCTAAAATATAAATATCTTTAAAAAGTTAAAATAACATCCCTGTATTTATGCCTTGTCAGATATCTGTGTCACTTTAGTAAAATTTGTTTTTACTGTTTCAAGGGCTCTGGACTCAGGAGTGGGCATATGACTCAAGCCAGGCCCAAAAGAACCAATGAGATGTGGTCACAGGACTGTGATTATAAATGATGGGAGAGATCTGGTCTTTGTACTAAGTAGTCCCCAAAGTGGGGTGTGCAAAACAAAAAATTGAACTCTATTAATAATTAATATAACATAACATATAGAATAATAGTGGTATATAGTAGCATATAACTTATAAATAAATATACACACATTAGGGATATATGCTTAACTTTTACTGCTGGATACATAATCAACCACCTTTGGAAATCATAGACATAAAGCACAGGCTGTGAGTCTGAAGTTTTTGGAAGGCATCTTGCCATCATAGGAGAGCTCGCCAGAGAGTGGAGCTAGCACAGAACAGAGAACACACAGACCCTAGACCTAACAATGTTTGAGTTCCTGGATCCAGTTGTGCCTAAAACCATCATCCCAATACTTTCAATTTGAGCAAATAAATACCCTTTGGGGTTTAAGCCAGTTTGAATTAGATTTGTTTCTTACAACAGGAAACATCTGGATGGTAAATTTAATAAATAAATTCTATTAAGTTCAGTTAGTCATTTTTATAATTGGTGGTCATTCTTGGGGACCTTTACACCTGAAATGTCTAAATGATATATTTTTATACTGACTTATGATCTGTGTTATCCACCTTGACTATCAAGTTTAAAAGAAGCACAAAAGGAAAATACCATTTTAAGACTTAAGACCTTTTTAAGACTTGTATGCAGTTGTTAATAATTTTCTATATTTATTTTTTATTGTTGATTTTCTATTTTTAGATAGATTGTTTTTTAGACCTCTTTTTTTCCAGAATTACTAGTCTAGGTTATTCAGAATTGTCTTGC